AATGGCAGGAGATACAAATCTCCCCTGTTGAAGTAAGTTTCACTTTAGAGTTATCACAAACATTCAGAAATGTATATTAATTGGAGAAGGGTCAACTGTGGTGGAAAATTTTAAGAATCCGTGAACTCGAAGATAATGGCTGATGTTATAAAGATGTTTAATAATATTAGATAAGGCTTGGTTTTCAGGAATACTTTAAACAAAACAACAGTTCAGCAGGGAATTAACATTCCCATGGAGGAAGTAAGGAGAGACGCGGCTCTTGCAGCTATAGGGGACCAGGCAACAATGAGGGACTGCATAGAGAGGGAGGGAAGCAGGGTGTAAGAGAATCATAGAATCACAGAAGTGTAGGCCTGGAGGGAACCTTAGTAGGTCATCTAGTCCAGTCCCCTGCACTCAAGGCAGGACTAGTAATAACTAAACCATTCCTGACAGGTGTTTAAGAACAGGTTAGACAAAAACTTCCAATGATGGAGATTACACAACTTCCCTAGGCAATTTGTTCCAGTGCTTGACTACCCTGACAGGAATTTTTTCCTAAGGTCCAGCCTAAACCGCCATTGCTGCAATTTTAAGCCCATTGCTTCTTGTCCTAGAACACAGACAAATGTAAAATATTGTGTTTTAATAAAAAGTATATTAGAGCTCAGAATTTAAAAGTTTACAGGAAACCAAACTCTGAATGAGGCTGGGTATAACAATATAGGAATTAGGAGAAAAACAATATTTGTGGGATACTGTCTGTATGATGGGAACGCCATTTAAAATTTCTTATTTAAAGAATAAATGCAATGTAATGAAAACCTGGCATTTGCCTGTTTGGTCTAACTACTTTTAACAAAAGGTAATGTTCTGGGTAAGAAGAGCAGACTTGGTACTCCTGGGAGAGTTTAATATTGTAATGACTGTTAATGCTAAATGATGAACAATCCAATAAAAAGGAAAAGGGAATTCTGCCACTGAAAAAGGATTTTTCTAGTCAAATTTATTTACAGGAAATACTTGAAAAAAATTATGATAAATGCCTGAATACGTCTTGGATACAGCTACCATATGTCTCTCCAAAGCAATCTAATAGAAGAGGAGTGGCAATATTCTTTGTTAAACATGTCTCTTTTATTGTTGAGCACAACTCAAACACATAGGGCAGATATATTTGAATTAAGGAGCCCTTGAAAGATAAACTTCTCACCTTAGCAAATTGATGGCTTCTAATCAAGCTTTATCCTTCTTTTTTTATTTTTTTTTTTTTTATTTTTAAGGGATTTAGGAAGTTTTATGGAAAAGGATATTACTCTGTGGCGGGAGGAGAAGGGGGAGATTTTAGTGAGGTGCTTAATACCACTTCTGGATCAATGCAATGTACATGGAGGGCGTACAGGATGAGTAAATGCAAATTTGTTCCATCACTTAAAAAATGAGGATCTGATGGATATCTGGTGGGAAATGAATCCAGTTATCAAGGATCATACACGTTCTCTACTTTTGGATCTCATTCCAGGATTGATATGATTTTTATTTCTAAGACTTTGGCTAATTTGGTCAAAAAAGATAATCTGGGTGTTTATAACACAGTCTGATTATTCCCCTGTATATATTAGATTAAAAGATTGAGACTCATTGGAAAAACAAAGAGCCTGGTTGTTGAATAGAGCTTTGTTGTATGACTGCATTAGAATTCAAAAGCTGGAAGAAAATGTCCAGAAATATCTAGAAGAAAATTATAAGGAAGGGCTCAATGAAAGTGTTCTCTGGGGTGCTGGAAAGGCAGTAATGAGGGAGGATCATTATAATAAAGCATCATATTTCAAAAATGAGAATTCTTGAAGAGAGTTTGGTTAAAGAACGTTCTGTTTGTAAGATAGATGTAAATGTACAGGATTGAAAAGTGCATAAGAAAGTAAAAGGGAGGAGATGGAAATTTAACCTATTATAAACAGTAGGGCTGAGCAAACACTTAGATATATGAAATAAAAATATTATGAAAAGAGCAATAAAGCTGATATACATACATGTATACACACACACACGCATGCGCTTACGTGCACACGATTTTGATTGAAAGATATTTATAAGAAAACAGCCCAGATGAAAAGATGGGAGAGGGATTTGGACAAACCAATTGCTCTGGATGAGTGGGTCTCTATATTTGAAAGGGGGATATACATCTTCAATTTGTGTACCGCACAAAGAAATTTCTTTAAAGATTGCATTTGACTCCATGTGGAGATCAATCCTATTTTTGCTGGTAGGGTCCCCTGTCCCTGAGACTCTGTTGGAGCCTCAGGGACAGGGGAACATACTTGCACATGTGGTGATTTTGTCCAGAAATTAATAATTTCCTCCCAAAACTATTCAAAGAGATTAATGTTCTGACAAAATTCCAGCTTCCTAGAGATCCCCTCACCTGATCACTTAATGCTCCAGTAAAAAAAATTACACATTTTAAACAGAATGACAATTTTTTTTATTGTTAGCTAAACTTTATATTGCACATTATTGGAAAAGTAAGGCTCCTCCTATGAAATTATGGTATAGTAAAATGTCCTTTTAATAGAAAATCTTTCATACCAAGTACATAAACAAGAGCAGCACCAAAAAGAGAATAGTTATTTAGAAATTTGGTCGTCCTTTTTAGAGTACTCCGAGGAAGAAGGATCTTCAGCCACCAACCCAGAATCTTTAGCCAAATAATTAGAACATTAACCTGATCCTGAATAAGTAATGTATGATGTAGTATGTTAACATTTTGTTGTAACTTTGTCTTAATAAAAAGTTGAAAAAACAGAAAATGTTCTCATTTCTTTTACAATAACACTTCACCGGGATAGTGAAAGCAAGTTGCCTGTTACCAAGTCTTATTACAGGCTGTGCACTTTGGTCACTGCACTCTATGCTGTCTCTATGCTGCTTACCTGATGTTTCTTCCAGAAATATGCAGGCAGAAATTAGGTCCTAGAATTTTTAATTTTTCACTCTGTGCAGTCCAAAACTAGTAATAGTGTGCTGCAGCCGCACTCACATTCCTGTGTTGCTGCAGCAACTCTTTCCGTGCAGCTGTGTGGGAGGGTCATGATCCTGGTTTAAAACGTGTTTTGTGAAAAGACAACAGGTTCCCTTCTAAGATCCAGGTGCTTTGAGTATCCCTGTAAATTATGGGATCAGAATACATAACTATTCAATCTCTCTCATCCCTCCTTTTCCCCACACTTTCATTTCTTTTGTTCATTGGAACTAATATTTTTCCTCAGAAGTCGTATTTTTTTATGTACCGGTAGCTATTTTTTAGTAGAAGTCTTAAATCATGGTTGGGGTCTTAGTTTTCTGAATGCCTGAAACCTCTTGTCCTGCCTTCTCTTCTGTCACTTCAGTTTTAGTCTAATACTCAAAATCCAGATATACTATGATGTTGAGAGTAGATATATATGGTAAATAGTTCTCTTCTGCTTTTTTTGGCCGTCTGAATTTTTGTAGCTAAATAGCCTTCAAGTGTTTGTCAATGGTAGTCATGGTGTGACTTAATAAGATCTTGTAAGAGACCCCAAAGGAAGGCCTCTCCTCTCTGACTATTGAGAGGAGAATCCAGCTATTCATTCAGACCAGGCAGTGTGTGTGGCCCAGAAGTGGAAGTAAGAGCATGATGTTTAATCACATATTTCATATTTTAGTGCCTTTGGGTATCCGAATAGAAGACAGTCTCAATTAGAGAGAAGTTCTGCTGAATCCACTACAAAAAATATTTCATCTTGAAGCCAAAAAATACAACTAAACAGGAATTCATCTAAAGGATTGTTGGAGAGCCATATTTCCTTGTCATTAAGTACAAAAAAGCCATGTGATACCATGCTTTTTAACGAAGATGTTACATTTTGATTTATGTAAGCGTGTTTGTTTAGGAACTGGTGAATACTGCAGTGTGAGATGTCATTTTAAATTAACAGAAAACTTGAAGCTTCATAAGCATTAATTTAGTATAATCTTTAAAATGGTGGTTTAAAAAGCATTAAAATGTACTCCGTATTTTTTAAGCAAACATCTGATATTCAGATACACAGCAATTACATTACAGTAATTGTTCTTTGAGCTAGGTTACTTTAGTACTGCATTACTCATATTTGCTAACCTTGGTTTTATGTCCAAGCATTTTTGCTCTAATGGCAAATTACAGTGGAATTAAAAGGTGAAACTGTCTTGTGCAGTATAATTTCAATGCATTCTGAATAAAATGTGGTTATAATTATTCTCTTCAGACCTTGGTTTTTTAATCAAGTCTTGATAAATTTAGACTATACTATGGGTAAGTAGTTTATAGAGGAACAAGAGAAGGTGCAATTTTATTTTTATATATAGATTTTACATGCAGGAAATCTTTACTTTTTAAGACTTGATTTTAATTGTTGATGGGTTCATCTCTTGTACCCAACAAATATTCTTCAGATTACTTACAATCCAAAGGAGACATGAAAAAGTGAGCATGTAGAATGTTAATTTCATATGCATCTCAGAGCCATAACAAATAGATCAATTTTTCAGTGTCTACTGGTGTTGCCCTGAGACTGCTTTTGTAGCCGAGTCTGAAGATATGTTAAACCATTACAGTGTCTTCATAAAATACAGTTGTCTTTGATATTAGTTTAATCAGTGTTTTTATGGCGCTAAAAATATCCTGATCAAAGTATGGGGAAAATATAAAATATTCTTGCACAAAGAACTGATCATTCTGCATCTAAAAAAGATGAAATTGTGAATATGACTTTTATGGAACACTGGTGCTAGACAAATCTTCCACCCGGCAAGGTAATTTTAAGACTGCATTATTTTCCAGACAATTTATGCAGTTGATATGGTGAACTGTCATTATTACTAAAATTTATAGCTGGCCCATGAATATTTTTAATTTTGGTATACAGCAGCCCAGACCCACTTGCTTCATTAAATACTCTTGCTGTATTCATTCTATCTGGATGACCATGTTGTCTTGCTTTTTTTAATTTCAGTTTTACAGCTACCAGCACAATGGGAAAAAGAAGTATGAGTCCTATTCAAGAGGAAACTGGCTCTGATGATATGGAAGAGAGAGAAATCCAAGAGACAGAGCTTGATGAATCAGATTGCTATGCAGAGTCTGTTCCAGAGGGAAGGAAGAGAGCCAAAAAGTTCAAAAAAGTCAAGAAGGAGCAAGAGCCAACAGGTAAGAGCAATGTGGCTGAATGTTCATTTTTGTCCTTTTTCTATCTGGAACCATCTTAACCCTAAACAAGGTGCAAGTTGTCTTTTGAGTGTTAAACATTGCTTTTATCCATATAGTTATCTATCTTAACACAGTGCTTTAATTTAAAGCCCATTTTGAATTGCAAACTATGGGATTGCATTGATCAGTGTTTTTAAAAAAAAAAAAAATGCCAACAAGGTAGAAACTTGAAATATTTGTGACTTGGATTTTGGATCAGAAGAAAGCTCGGTGAGGGAGGGTCATTTACTAGGAGATTACTTTCCATTATAAAATAAAGGCCTCTATGGGGATAGTCTTGGTGATCTGAGCTAATTTTTTCTCCCAATGTGGCTATGCACTCTCTTGACAATTAGGGTCATCTGGGACACTTTTGCTTATGCTATGGAAATTTGAGAATTCGGGTACTGGAAGCATGATTCTGCAATTTTTCCCCAGTCAGTCCAGCAAACCTGTGAATATTGCAAGACTTACCTTTTTTGTTTTAGGCTATTGGCTTGAGTGGATGGAGTCTTATTTGTCAACTTGGCATAGTTTAGGTTGACACATCATTGGTTGTATTTTATTATGTGGTCTTTTAAATTGATTGCAAATATGCTCAGCTTTTAATAAATCTTCCAGCTTTCCTGATTAAGTTCATGAACTCCTCTTTTTTTAATATTATTTAGCACTTACATAGAGTTTTAAATGCTCAAAGCACTACACAACATTAACTGATTCCTAAAACATTGTGAAAGGTAGAAAAATAAAATACATCTTACATATGGGGAAACTGAGGCAGGGAACTGAAGGGACTTTCATAAGGTCACACATCAAGTCAGACATCAGAACTTGGGGCATTCTGAATCCCCAACCTTGAGCTCTATATTCCACACCATATTGTCCACCTCATAAAATATCCTCTGATTGGAGCATGTGCATACGCGTTGTCAATCATGTTTAGTTTCCCATAATATGAACCAGGTCATCCCTAAAGATATTACATGTTCTCTCCCTAACTCCTAAAATGTCAATGCTTATTTGAAGTAAGCAAACTCATCTACTGGCTGAAAGAAGCATTTTTCCTCTCGATCACCAGGTAGAAGAGGAAAAAACTGACCACTTCCCATTTTCAGTATAGCTAAGTGGATGTCATATGCCATACATAAATTGGTTTTTCTTATTACTCTGAGTAAACATTTGGAATCCAGCTAAATGGTAAATGTTTTACACTTTAATTTGGAATAAAAATGTGATTTATTAAATATAGAGTCCTCTTTCTCGTAATAGCTTTATAATCCTGTCATAAGGATTCTGAAATGGTCATTCCTAAGTGACTTCTATTTTTAGCTATCTAAAACAAATTATGGATTTACTTGATATGTGTCTGGGATCAATGTAGTGTTGGCCACTGCATGAAGACTAAGGGTATGTCTACACTACGAGAGTAGTTCGATTTTACTTAAATCGAATATGTGGAATTGATATTACAAAGTCGAACGTGTATGTCCACACTAAGGACAGTAATTCGACTTTGTGAGTCCACACTAACAGGGCAAGCGTCGACATTGGAAGCGGTGCACTGTGGGCAGCTATCCCACAGTTCCCGCAGTCCCCGCTGCCCACTGGAATTTTGGGTTGAGCCGCCAATGACTTCTGGGTAAAAAAATGTGTCGAGGGTGCTTTTGGGTAACTGTCGTCATCCGACCGTCACTCCCGCCCTCCCTCCCTGAAAGCGCCAGCGGGAAATCAGTTCGCGCACCTTTCTGGTCAGTGACAGCGCGGACGCCACAGCACTGCGAGCATGGAGCCCGCTGCAACCATCGCTGCAGTTATGGCCGTTGTCAACACCTCGCACCTTATCATCCACCTTTCCCAGAGGCAGATGCTGAGAAATCAGGCGAGGAGGCTACGGCAGCGCGGTGAGGACCTGAAGTCTGAGAGTGGCACAGACCTGTCAGAAAGCACGGGACCCCGCGCCGAGGACATCATGGTGGCAATGGGTCATGTTGATGTTGTGGAACGGCGATTCTGGGCCCGGGAAACAAGCACGGACTGGTGGGACCGCATAATGCTGCAGGTCTGGGATGAATCCCAGTGGCTGTGAAACTTTCGCATGCGGAAGGGGACTTTCCTCAAACTTTGTGAGTTGCTGTCCCCTGCCCTGAAGCGCAATGACACCCGGATGCGAGCAGCCCTGAGTGTCCAGAAGCGAGTGGCCATAGCCCGCTGGAAGCTTGCAACGCCAGACAGCTACCGGTCAGTGGCGAACCACTTTGGCGTGGGCAAATCTACCATGGGGGTTGTTGTGATGCAAGTAGCCAACGCAATCGTTGAGCTACTGCTCTCAAAGGTAGTGACCCTGGGAAACGCGCAGGTCATCATAGATGGCTTCGCCGCGATGGGATTCCCAAACTGCGGTGGGGCTATAGATGGAACTCGCATCCCTATCCTGGGACCGGACCACCAGGCCAGCCAGTACATTAACCGAAAGGGCTACTTTTCAATGGTGCTGCAAGCACTGCTGGACCATAGGGGACGTTTTACAAACATCAACGTCGGATGGCCGGGCAAGGTTCATGACGCTCATGTTTTCAGGAACTCTGGTCTGTTTAGACGGCTGCAGGAAGGTATTTACTTCCCAGACCACAAAATAACTGTTGGGGATGTGGAGATGCCTACAGTGATCCTCGGGGACCCAGCCTACCCGCTAATGCCCTGGCTAATGAAGCCCTATACTGGCGCCCTGGACACTGAAAAAGAACTCTTCAACTACCGGCTGAGCAAGTGCAGAATGGTGGTGGAGTGTGCTTTTGGCCGTCTCAAGGGGAGATGGAGAAGCTTACTGACTCACTGTGATCTCAGCGAAACCAATATCCCCATTGTTATTGCAGCTTGCTGTGTGCTCCACAATCTCTGTGAGAGCAAGGGGGAGACCTTTATGGCGGGGTGGGAGGTTGAGGCAAATAGCCTGGCTGCTGATTACGCCCAGCCAGACAGCCGTGCGATTAGAAGAGCCCAGCGGGACGCGCTGTGCATCCGGGAGGCTTTGAAAGCTAGGTTCCTGAGTGAGCAAGGTAACCTGTGACTATTAAGTTTGTGTACAGAGAAGCTGAACCTGCTCCCGTTTCTTTACCAAGTAAATATTCACTATCCTCTCCAGTTACATACCCCGTTCCCCCCCTTCCAACACACGTTTAAAAATAAAATCACTTGAATTTTGTTAATGAACACCGTTTTCTTTATTACTGTTTTCTCGGTAAAGTGTTGAACCTGGGACGCAGACTGTGGTGGGGAGCGAGTGTAGTGTAGTGATGCAAAGGACGCTTCTAAACTCTGTGTGTGGGGGCTATGTGACTTTGTGGCAGGGGGGAGGACGGTTACAAATCCCCTGCTGTGTGGCTCTGTGATCCAGGATAAGGACCGCTGCATAAGATCTCTAACTGCCCTCCCCCGCCACAAAGTCACAGAGCCTTCCCCCTCCCCCCCCACAGAGAACATGAAAACCACCTCCCAGACTGACCAGGGTGCCTAGTGACTGCAATGTGTGTGTGCCCTGCTGCTGAACCTGCCCCCGCCTCTGTACCATGGTAAAGGTGACTCTCCTGTCCAATTACCAACCCCTTCCCCCCCCCTTCAGACAGACTCTCCTCTAAAAGAACATGATGGAAACAGTAATTAACAGAAACGTATTTTTTATTAGCAACTACACATGAAACTGGGGGATGAAACTTGGACGGGGGCTTGGGTGAGGTGGGAAGGAAAGGACTTATCAAATTTTGGGGAAGGAGAGCCTTCTGGTACTTGAGCAGTCTGCAGGGATGGAGTGAGAGTTTTCACGGACTCTGCCTTCTTTGGACTTTGGGTGAGGGGGGTATAGGACTTGGTGGCGGGGGAGGGCGGTTACAGATATACTGCAGCGGGGCTCTGTCCTCCTGCCTCCGGTCCTGCAGAACATCCACAAGGCGCCGGAGCGTGTCCGTTTGCTCTCTCATTAGTCCAAGCAGCGTTTGAGTCGCCTGCTGGTCTTCCTGCCGCCACCTCTCCTCCCGTTCCATGTGTGATCGGTGCATTTGGGACAAGTTCTCCCTCCACTGGGTCTGCTGGGCTGCCTGGGCTCGGGAGCAGCCCATAAGTTCCGAGAACATGTCCTCCCGTGTCCTCTTCTTCCTACGCCTAATCTGTGCTAGCCTCTGGGAGTGTGATGCCAGGCTAGGTCGGGAGACAGTCGCAGCTGTGGGATGGGAAAAAGGGAGTGAATTCTTCAGAAAGATAAATTTTTGGGTGAACAAAGAACATAGTCTTTCTCTGTGAACTAGACCATGCACAGCACCTGTCACATGCGCACTCAGGACAAGGTCGAATTTTCGGCCTTCGCATTCAGTGCCTGGGGTCTTGCAGTGTAGATCAGAGAAGCGGGGCAGGACACCGGAATTTGAGTAGCAGGCCGACATGGTAAGCCGTAGACTTGTGGCTGCTTAAAACTTTAATAATAGCACTGGCCTCCTTTCACGTTGAAAGCAATGCCAGTCCCTGCTGCCAGCAATCCGGCAAGCATGAACTCTGCCCCTGTCCCACCCCCTCGCGTCTGTCCCAGGGAAAGATCCCTGTATGCTGCCCCCTCCCGCCTCCACCGCGTGGCTGTAAGCTGCCGGTTACGGTTCTGTAAAGGAACAGGCAAGCAGTCCCAATACTAACATTCCCCTACCTAATTCAAAGCAGGTCACCATGAGCGACATCACTCTGATGAGGATTTCAGAGACGGAGAAAGAAAGGATCCTTCGGGAAAGCCTGCAAAGACCAGGGCCGTATGCCACCATGCTCTGCAAGGCAATGATTCCCGAGTACTTGCTTGTCTCCTGGCGCGGAAACGTTTCCTACTACGGAGGACCCAATAAGGCCGCTCTCCCAAGGAACCTCATGCAAAGGCTTTCCAATTACCTCCAGGAGAGCTTCGTGGAGATGTCCCTGGAGGATTTCAG